CCTCTTGTGGATCAGGAATTGGTTAAATATCAGGAGAGATGTAGAAAGTGGAGTCCCCTAAGGATCAATATTAGGGCCTGTTCTTTTTAACTTGTTTATAAATGATCTAGAGTTAGGGGTGAGCAGTGAAGTGGCTAGGTTTGCTGACAATACTAAATTTGTCCAGGGTTATTAAAACAAAAAGAGATTGTCAAGCGCTCCAGAAGGATCTCTTCAAACTGAGCAAATAGGTGGTAAAATAAAAGTGAGGCATGTGGGGGCATAAAATCTTAGTTTCACATATACGATCATGAGGTCTCATGCCTGGGTGTTCTCAACTGTCACTGATGGACCAGGAACAAGACCCTGGGATCATAGTAGATAGCTTAATGAAGGCATCAACCCAGTGTGCAATGGCCATTGAAAGGCAAATTCCATGCTAGGGATTGTTGGGGATGGAATTGTGGGGCGGGGACATAACCCTGCCAATATCATAATCCAGAACATAGGTGGGGAAAACTACAATTAGTTGATTGTGCCTGTCATTGGCTTGGAGTCCACCTACTAGGGCCATCTTTACCCGGAGTGCAAGGGGTGCGGTGCACCCGGGCGCCAAATTATTACCTACTGCATACCAGTCCCTCTCGATCGGCGGCAGTGAAAAGCAACGGGGCGCTGGGTGGATCTTTGCACCCCGGGAGCGCATATGCTAAAGACGGCCCTGCCACCTACACTTGAACTCCCTGCTTTCTGCCCCACCATTCCCTCCCATGAACTTATTTCAATTATTAGCTCCTCTTAGCATCCAAGCCTCTGACTTTTCTCAGTCAATTGCTCTGTCAAAACCATTCAGCCTTAACACACACTCACACACAAACCAACTGCGTTCTAGTTGTAAGAAGGCATTTATCTTGGAGCATTTTTGTGGCGGCGTGACATTGCTTAGCAACACCACGCAGGGTGAAGTTTCAAGTAAGTAGCTTCAGAATCTCTTTCTTAATAGGAGTTGCATCACTTGGCAGTTGACACGACTCCGGGCAGATCAACATTTCCCTGCAGAGGGATGCAAAGTGAGTATACATACGCTGGAGGCAAATGCGTTTAGTAATAATGGTAAGCGATGGTCACTTGCAGAGAAGTCGCCATATTTGGCAACTCCAGCTCAGGTTTGCGGGGGAAGGGGGGCACATATTCTTTTGGCACCTGGAGTTTCACCATGGAGCCCCCTTTGACCCTCCTACCACTTTGACACAGCAGGGGCAATCCCAGAATCACAGTCTTACAGCAGTCCAGTCAAAATAGAGGACCAGTGTTTTTATTTCTTTATCGCATTTATAATCCACCTTTCCTCCAAGGAGCTCGAGTTGGTGTACATAGCTTTCCTCTTCCCCACTTTATCCTCACAACAACCCTGTTGTGATGGCCTGGGACTCGGACTTGGGCTCAGAACCAGAGGAGACTCAATCTGCACTGGATCCTTTGCCTCAGGCATCATCTGAACCAAGTCTGGGGCCTGATCCTGAAGAGTCCCAGTCTGCACAGGTTCCCCTGCAACAAACACCAGCTGGGCCGAATCAGGGGCCTGAGCCTGCCCTGGCTCCAGATGCGAGGATTACCTCGTTGCCTTCAGCTGGGCCATCACTTACAGCTGCTCCACTACCGGTTGGGTCAGGGGAGGCTGAGGTGGCCCCTGGGTCTAGTGGTTAACCCACCGACGTCTCCTGAACTACAGAGACTAAGGTCTGAGAGAAGGAGAGACCTGAGTACTCGCAGAAGGAGTGCAAAACAGGGAAGTGAGTTGCCGGGGGATCAGGACCATCCGCTACCCTGACAAAGATAAAAGGCTGTCAGACCCCGCCCCAGGTTGCGGGAGCAACATTGCTGTGTGCTAGATTCTGCCTGAGATCCTGTACCTGTCCTTGTCTGGTTTCCTGTTTTGTGTCCTGCCTTGACCCTGTCAGACTGTCTCCTAGTGGAACCTTTGGATTCTGGTCGGGTCCTCGACCATGTTTTACGGGTTACCCCTGGGCCCAGCACACCTGTGAAGGTAAGGTAGGCTGAGAGGCAGCAACTGGCCCAAGGTCACACCCAGAGAGTTTCATGAGTGGAGATTCGAACCCTGGTCTCCGAGGCCCAAGTCAGGCATGGGTGCAAAGTTGTTGCTCAAGCACTTTGTGTCCACAAACAGGGACAAACGATGTGTACATTTAGTTCTCCACATTTCTACACTAATTTGAAAAATCCTCATGGAAATTCACCAGCTTTTTGGTGCTAATTTCTCCCCAAGCAAATCCCCCACAAAACACAGTCCCTCAAAACAAAAACAACACTACACCCCCTGCAAACAAACAAACAAACAAACAAACCCTAAAGCAACCTTTTGTTGGACTCTTGACATCCCTGACTGAAAGTTTCTGCACAGACATGTTTGCTTTCATCGTAGAGGAGAAGGAAATATAACTTCCAGTGCTGCAGATCTGCCCATTTTAAATGTGAGTATGATGATGATGATGATGATGATGATGATGATGATAAATAATAATAAATTTTATTTATACCCCGCCCTCCCCGGCCAGAGCCAGGCTCAGGGTGGCTAACACCAGTAAAATTACAATAAAAACATAATGGGGGTGGGACCAATTTAAAATACAGGTTAAAATACAATTTAAAATGCAGCTTCATTTTAAAAGTAGCCCATAGATCAAAACCATAAGGGGAGGGAAACATAAGGGTCAGACTGAGTCCAAACCAAAGGCCAGGCGGAACAGCTCTGTCTTGCAGGCCCTGTGGAAAGATGTCAAGTCCTGCAGGGCCCTAGTCTCTTGTGACAGAGCATTCCACCAAGTCGGGGCCAGTACTGAAAAGGCCCTGGCCCTATTTGGGACCAATCTAACCACCTTGCAACTTGGGACCTCCAAAATGTTGTCATTTGTGGACCTTAAGGTCCTCCATGGAGCATACCAGGAGAGGTGGTCCCGTAGGTACGTGGGTCCTAGGCCGATGTAATTTGATGACACTTAAAAACTAGTTCTAGTGGGTGACCTGGTGAGAATGAAAACCTGGAGCCATCCTGGGTAGGGAGTTGGACCTGTGAGACCAGTGATTGAATCCCCACTTGACCACGAAGCTCATTGGGTGTGACTTTGGGTCAGGCACTGCCTCTCAGCCTAACCAGTGTGGTGTAGTGGTTAAGAGCGGTGGACTTGTAATCTGGGGAACTGGGTTCGCATCTCCACTCCTCCACATGCAGCTGCTGGGTGATCTTGAGCTAGTCACACTTCTTTGAAGTCTCTCAGCCCCACTCACCTCACAGAGTGTTTGTTGTGGGGGAGGAAGGGAAAGGAGATTGTTAGCTGCTTCGAGACTCCTTCGGGTAGTGATAAAGCGGGATGTCAAATCCAAACTCTTCTTCTCTTCTAACCTACCTCATAGGGTTGTTGCGGGGATTAAATGAGGAGGCGGGAGAACCATATACAATATGTCATCTTAAGCTCCTTCATTAAACATGAACAAAAAGGGACTTAATTGCTTAGCAGCCATATGCACTGCATGGAAAATGCTGAATGTCGTTGGCGGGCTTTAACATACACCACCACAACTGGACAATTTAATTTTCCAATTACAGTGACGCGCACCAGACGTATTTGCTGCGTTATATATGTGCCTCAGCTTTTCCACTGACTGCTCTGTGATCATGCCTTCTCTCGCTGTTAAATTCTGGATAGTTCTAATCAGCTAATCCGCTGAGCAATGATAGCTTCCGCCCCTTCCCCAACCCCCAGCCCATCAGCAGTTGTGCTCAGCCAGCCAGCCAGCCACTGTGAAGGGAAACAGGGAACTGTGCTTCCTTCTTGAAATATAATGGCAAGGCAAATCAGGTCCTAAGCAAGAAGCATAGGACAGAGAGATAGTTCAGTCAGTAGAGCACAAGACTCTTAATCTCAGGGTTGTGTGCTTGAACCCCGTGTTCACCAAAAATAATCCTGCCTTGCAGGGGTTTGGATTAAATGACCCCTGTGGTCCCTTCCAACTCTACAGTTCTATTACTCTGTAACCTCGGAAGCTGTCTTGGGCTGAGTCAGACCATTGGTCCAGTTAGTCCGGCATTGCCTACACTGGACTAGCAGAAACTCTCTGCAGTTTCAGGCAGATAATTTTGTCAGTTTGCATTTCTTAGTACGGAAAGTATTGCTCTGATGTGATCTTTCCTATTCTACTTAGTTCAAGAGTGTTCTGGAAGGTTTCTTTCTATGTGAAAGAAGCAGGCAGCAGGTTTCTGATGTTTGGGTTATTCCTTCCGGGAAACTGAGTGCAATGGTTTAAACTGCTTCTGTTATCTGTTCTGTTCTGTATACAGGGGTACCTTGGTTTTAGAACATAATCCGTTCCGGAAGACCGTTCCGCTTCTGAAACGTTTGAAAACCAAGGCGCAAAGGGCCATCTGCAATTTCAATTGAGAAAAATGGGGGGGGGGGATGCAATGGAAGCCGTTTGACTTCTGGGGCGTGTTCGAAAACAGAAGCAATTACTTCTGGGTTTTCGGCATTTGAAAACCGAAATGTTCAGCTTCCGAGATGCTCGGAAACTAAGGTAACACTGTACCTCTGGTTATGAACATAATTCGTTCCGGAGGTCCGTTCTTAACCTGAAACCATTCTTAACCTGAGGTACCACTTTAGATAATGGGGCCTCCCGCTGCTGCTGCGCCACCACCGCGCCATTTCTGTTCTAATCCTGAAGCAAAGTTCTTAACCCGAGGTACTATTTCTGGGTTAGTGGAGTTTGTAACCCAAAGTGTTTGTAACCTGAGGTGTTTGTAACCCAAGGTACCACTGTATAGTGTTAAGGTTTAGTCTCATAAGTTATTGTTAAGTTTAGAGAAGTCTGCTGCAACTGGATTTCTTATGGACTGTGCCAATCCTGAATGCATTGGATTTGTGACCGTTATGCTCATTTGCCAGAACTCTGCAATGTGTTTACGTTTTCCTCCACACATTCAGCAAATTTTCCCCAGTCCTGTTTGGAGATGCTGTGGATTGAACCTTGGGACCTTCCGCATGCAAAGCAGAGGCCACACCACTAAGCTACAGCCCCTCTGGGCTGCTTTCACTAGCATGACTGAGATGTGGGTGGAAAGTGACCAGGCAGCCAAATGCAGAGGTGAGGAACCTTTTGCAGTAACATGCCATGTCTTCTGGGGATCACATACCTGTTGTGGTCAGCAGAGCCAGAGGCACAGCAAGGAATGCACACTTTACCTTTGCAGTTGTAGGCTAGTTTCTACACACACCCCTCTATATCCTCCTTGAGCCAGCTGGAAGGCTCCTGGCCAAATTTTTGTGTTACATTAATTTGGTGCGTGGTGTGGTTTGGGAGTGCAGGTGGCATATGAAACAGCCAGATGGGGAGCCACTGCAGAGAAAGCCCGTTCTTGTGTTGCCAGCCTCTGCACCTCTCGAGGAGGAGGCACACGAAGGAGGACCTCAGAAGATGATCTCAAGATCCAGATAGGTTCATATGGAAAGAGGAGGATGCTAGCTTTGTGCCACCTTGTAAATATTTCCCTTTGACTCCTGGAAACATGGAGGTGGTGGTTTGCAGCTTACTTGATAGCCTCTAGCATGAGTGGCCTACCCAGGCAGGACACTGTGAAGGAAAGGGAATAGATACAGCCTTTCTCAACCTGTGGGTCCCCAGATGTTGTTGGACTACAACTCCCATCACCCCTATCTAGCAAGGCCAGAGCTCAGGGATGATGGGAGTTGTAGTCCAACATCTGGGGACCCACAGGTTGAGAACCACTGGATTAGAAGATTCCTTGTGCCCTTTCATTACAATCTGTAGTGCCAATTTGAAAAATAAGGGTTCCCCTTTCCTGGATCCAAAATTATAGTTTCTTTTAATTGAAAATTCTGAAGGTCTTGTCTGCTCCATTTTACCAGGATTTCTTTGCATCACAGCAGAAGTCCAACAGCCCCCTGAGAAGGGCCTTCTTGGCACTTTCCCCTACAGCATAATCGTTCCTGACAAGCACGGCCTAATGTAACTTCATATAAAAATGTATGTTATTCACATTCAACATGATTCGACTCCCATCCCGCACCTCTCGTATGCTAACTAATGTTAGCTGGTTAAATAACACGGTTATAATGAAAGATTGATAGCAGAAGAGAATGGAGAAATTAAAAGGTACAGGCAAGCGGAAAAACCTGCTGAGAATCCTAGTGCAATTTCACAATAAGAGAGGATATGAAAGATGAATGTTTAATCATTTCTGGGTAAGGCCGCTTTCCTGGGAAGATTGAGAATCGGCTTTCCGGTAACTCCAGAAAATCCACAAGGCGTTGTGGAGAAAGGTTGCTGCTCAGCATTTGCTTTCAATGCAGAAGGTCTCTGGTTCAATCCCTGGCATCTTCGGTTAAGACTGGGAGAGACCCTTGCCAGAAACCTTGGGGAGATGGTGTTTGTCAGTAAGTACAGACATTAATAAGGGACGTGGGTGGCGCTGTGGGTCAAGCCACAGAGCCTAGGACTTGCTGATCAGAAGGTTGGTGGTTTGAACCCCTGCGATGGGGTGAGCTCCCGTTGCTTGGTCCCTGCTCCTGCCAACCTAGCAGTTCAAAAGCACGAAGTGCAAGTGGATAAATAGGTACCACACCATTTACCTTCCCGTTGGAGCGGTACCTATTTATCTACTTGCACTTTGACATGCTTTCGAACTGCTAGGTTGGCAGGAGCAGGGACCGAGCAACAGGAGCTCACCCCATTGTGGGGATTCGAACTGCCAGCCTTCTGATCGGCAAGTCCTAAGCTCTGTGATTTAACCCACAATGTCACCCGTGTCCCCACCCAGCCAGATGGGTGGGGTATAAATAACAACTTCTTCTTCTTCTTCTTCTTCTTCTTCTTCTTCTTCTTCTTCTTCTTCTTCGTCCCAGGTTATGAGCTATGCTGATGGCACTTTCATAATCTTAATGGCACAGTGAGAGACAGTTTGATGGCACTGATGGGGGTTAAGTGGTATATTGTAGCCTGGGCATTGGTGTGGGGGGACATGTTTGCTCACATCTACCTCCTTCACCAGCTGCATCAAGTCTCTGTGACTGCTGAGCCCAGACTCAGCCAGTCTCAAAGGCACCGATGTGCCTGTTGAGCTCTTGGAGCTTCTGTCCTGCTTCCAGCATATATAAACACGATGTAATGAGGCCTGCCGACGCTTTCCTTGTGCGCCGATACCCAAAGCTCGTTAGAATCGCTGGCTGGCAGGTCGTGCCTTGTAACTCCAAACAGTGCCAGACCAAAGGCTTATCCAAGAAGGAAGGGTTGCATTGCAGGCTGGCAAGTGGCTCTTTGGGATCAGGGGGAGCTTGTATTTCTCTGCCAGAGTGAAGGGCTGTGACACTGGGGAGCGAGAAGGCAGAGAGGAGCACTTTGAATGAGTGCAAGCAGTTGCACATTTAGCCTGTGGCAAGCATCTCCTGCCCTGGAAGTATTTTGAATTATTAAAATAAATCTGCCTTGGCACAGCTGAAACAAATGCGGCTTGCTTTCGTCTGCTGCAAGAAAGTGAATTGCCAATCAAGAGCAACAATTCATTCTTCCCCCACCCCTCCGACTTGCTGTCTTCCTCACAACCCAGCCATGTTGCACTGGGATGGAGCCACATTCTTTTACAGTACAGTGGTACCTTGGTTCTCAAACTTAATCCCTTCTGGAAGTCTGTTCCAAAACCAAAGCGTTCCAAAACCAAGGCATGCTTTCCCATAGAAAGTAATGCAAAATGGATCAATCCATTCCAGACTTTTAAAAACAACCCCTAAAACAGCAAATTAACATGAATTTTACCCTCTAACGAGACCATTGATCCATAAAATGAAAGCAATAAACAATGTAGTGCAGTCACACAATCAATCAATCAGTAGCTGAACTGGGTTCCACACAGTCACAAAAACAAAACAAAAAGAGCCGCAAAAACAAAAATGCAAAATATATAGCAAAAACAGGCTGACCTCAGCATAATACTCAAAACGGAAGCGTGACACTCAAATCAGAAGCATAACACTCAAAACGGAGCACGTTCAGCTTCTGAAAGAAGTTCGCAAACCAGAACACACTCTTCTGGGTTTGCAGTGTTTGGGTTCCAAGTTGTTTGAGTACCAAGGTACCACTGTACAGTCCTTGATCCTAGAGGTAGGGAACCTTCAGACCTCTCTGCCAGACCCTTGGATCTCCCCCCAGGCCACACCCCTTACTGCCCCTGTTTTGCACCCTCCTTGAGTGCTTTTGCCTGACTAGAACGTGCCCTTGGACTCTGATGGTGTCTCTTGCTTGTCTGGGTAGAGGATACAAAGGGTGAGAGTATGTGTAGAAACATGTGTATTGTGCATGTATATTGCTCCTCCCACTCTTGCATGTCCCTCATGGGTAAGTAGCCTCTGGAAGGGCTGAAAATGGTTCCTCAGCCTGTGTACTCGGAAGTAAATCTGCCTGAATTCAATGGGGCTCACGCCCAAGTCAGTGGGTAGGAGATACATTCTAAAATGGCACCTTTAGTCAGCTACCTGGGAGTAAGCCCCCTTGAACTCAATGGGGCTTATTTCTGTGTGTGTGCATGGTGAGGATTTAAAACTGTTAAGGCTATTTTACTCCCTGAGATAAAAATGCTAAGCCTTGTTAACCCATGAGTACTTGCTGCATCCATTAAAACAAGACCGCTGATATTAAGGGGAAGATTAGATTAATTGCAGGATTAACCATTAAGCAAAATAAGCACATGCTTAGGGCATCAAGGGAAGAGGGGCAGCACAGAAATTTTCCATCGCCAGATTTACCATCGATTATATGGTGCAGCGGAAGCAGGTTCCACAAAAAAGGCTCCCACGATATTTATGTCACAAGTTCGGGGGTGGGGGTGTAGAAACAATATTCAGTTATGCTGAACTTCATAAAATAAAGGTAGAGGTCAATATTTTACGGTTTACTATTGTTTATATTTTGAATTATAGATATATATGGGAGCACCAAAATCTTTTGAGTGTTTAGGGTCTCTAAATGGCCTTGGATTACAGTGGTACCTCAGGTTACAGACGCTTCAGGTTACAGATTCCGCTCACCCAGAAATAGCACCTCGGGTTAAGAACTTTGCTTCAGGATGAGAACAAAAATTATGCAGCAGCAGTGCGACCACAGTAGGAGGCCCCATTAGCTAAAGTGGTACCTCAGATTAAGAACAGTTTCAGGTTAAGAACGGACCTCCAGAACAAATTAAGTTCTTAACCTGAGGTACCACTGTACTGCAATGCATTATATGTGGGGCTGCCTCTGAAGACAGTTTGGAAGCTTCAACCAGTGCAGAATTCCGTGCCAGGGCAAGATGGTTTTTTGGCCAAACTGCAGGAACTGCCAATTAGTTTCTGGGCCCAATTCAAAATGCTAGCATTGCCCTTTAAAGCCTTAAAAGGCTCCAGACTGCAATACCTCAAGGACTGTCTCACCCCATATAAATCAACCCGAATCCTGCGATAGCCATCTGAAGCCCTTCTTCATGTCCCTCCTCCATGAGAAGCATGGAGACCATCAACACGATAACAGGCCTTTTCTGTAGTGGCCCCATTTGTGGAATGTTCTCTCCAGAGAGGCTTGCCTGGCACCTTCATCTTTAAGCACCAAGCAAAAACATTTCTTTTCAAACAGGCCTTTGGCTAATTAAACAACTGTTTTTATTGAAGGATTTTCATAGACAAGGGTACTTCTATCTCTGCAGGGGTGCATTCTGTTCATTAATATGTTATGTATTTTTGTAAACTGCCCCGTGATCCTTGGATGAAGGGCGGTAAAGAAATTTAAAGAATGAATGAATGACTGGAGTTGCTTTGAGTCTAAAGTTATTATATCATTACTTAGGAATGTTTTGCAATGTTACCAATCTTATATATACCATGCTTAACATTTTTGTGTGCGTTGTTGGTTTCACTCTGCTCGTTTCCCAATCTGTCAAATGTGTATTCTTTATTTTAGGGATCTGTGAGCCAAGTTGAACCACTTGAAGTACAAAACTAATGAGATCCCTGCTGGATTAGACCAAATGTGATCCAGCATCTTGATTTTCACAGTGGCCAATCAGATGCCCACAAGTAGGGCATGCAGGTAATAGCCCCTGCAATGTGTTGCCATCTGACAAGTGTTAGTGGCTTATTGTGTGTGTCAACTCAATGGAGCTTACTCTTAAGTAGGTGGTGTTATGATGGCAGCCTTCCAGCTTCTGAGCATAGAGGATCCACACAACCAATAACAAAGAAAATACTAAATTGACTGAACCCTTCATCTACCAGGTTCCACTCCTGGACATGCAAACGTAGGCATAGGCTCCACCCCTTGGCCAATCAAAATTTCCTCTCTGGGTATATTTAAAACCCATATTGGCAACCCTTGCAAAGTTAAATGGCACTTAGAATACCTAAGCATAGAACTGCCTATCTCCCTTCGCTGAAAACCTCATTCTCACCTAGGAATATGAACCCAGTCGTATGCAGTTGGCCCTGTACTGTAGTAAGTTTAATGAGGGTGGCATCTTATCCTCACAACAGGTAGTGAGGTAGGTTAGGCTGAGAGATGATGAGTGCTGGCCCAAGGTTACCCAGGGAGCTTCAAGGCTGGTCTCTTAAGTCCTAGTCTAACACTCTAACCATTTCACCTCACTGGCTCTATATATGTTTGTAATCTCACCCAAGGAACAAAGATGTTCTTGGCACTTAAATAAGGGGACAATAGGCTTCTATATCACACAGTTTGAGAAGGTGCAGTACAACCCTTAACAGGAGGCTCAACAAATCATTCTGGGAGTGGAAAGTGTGAAGAATACAGGAACCTGAACCAAATCCACACACACACACAAGCAAAAATGGACATGAAATACGCGTGGCTCTCACAGCGTGGCTTCCTTTTAAGCAAATATAGGTGCGATGGCGCTGTGAGTATCGCACCTTTGGGTTAAATGCTAACCCCCAGGCGCTTGGAGATGGTTGATAAGAAAAATGGAGGACAGCGGAGGAAGGGAGGGGAACTCATGGCACAGCCAGGGATTGGCCCGAGGACTGATCCTGGCACCTCGACAGCCTAAACCAGCCGCGTTGGGAAGCAGTCCAAGGTGCCCGAAGCCTCGCTCGCGGAAACTGCAGCAGCGGCCCCAATGCTCTCCCAGAAGAGACGCGCGCGCCGCCGGATTCCGCGCGCCCCTTTCTTCGGAGGTCGACCGTCCCTCTTAATTCCATGGAGCTCTCCAAAAAAAGTGAGTGTCGGATCTCAGCCCCGCGAGCCCCTGGAGGCGGAGAGCGAACCTCCGTGAGAACGGGGGTGGGGGTGGGTGCCTTACCCCCAAGGAAACGTGGATTCGGGTCTTAGCCAATGGCTGCTTCTGGAAGAGGAGGAAAAGAAGGCGCTGGTGGTGGTGGTGGTGGCGGCAGCAGCAGCAGCACACCACCGCCTCGGTTTCTCGCTGCCCACCGAGGGAGCGTTTTCCCGAGACTGAGCCGGCCCCTCCTCTTTCCCCTTAGCGCCGCCCTCCTTCGCCTCTCGCCGCCTCCTCAGCCGAAGGACTTCCCCGGCTGGAGCTGTGCCGCCTTCAGAGACGAGCGAGAGCGGAGCGGCGGCGGTTCCTCGACGTGGTTTGCTCGCCGGTGTTCGCGCGGCTTGGAGAGGATGGCGCGTAGCGCAATCCGGAGCTGGATTTTATTCTATTACCCTTTTTAGAAGAGAAGAGGGAAGGGGCGGGCGCGGTGAAAGGGACCCACTGCCAACAGGTTTTCCCTGTTTTCTTGCGGTCCGAGAAGCGAGGGCTCCGTCGCTTTGGCTTGCATCTCCCGCTCGCTTCCTCGAAGGCGCGCGGCTGCGCTGCAAAGGGAGCCCGGCGCGCGTAAAAAAGTTGGAGCGTTTGGCTGCCTTTTTCTTTTACACCTTCGGATCTGTCCTTTATTTTCATTTTCAAATCCTCCCCTCTCGCCCTCGCCTCCCTGCACTCTCCCGCCAGGAAAGCGAGCCGGAGAGCAAGGACGTACGATGTCCTCCCCACTGCTTGCCTCTTGACGCCCGAGGTGGCGGGCTGGCGGCGGCGTGGCCAACAGCAGCTCCCGCAGCAGCAGCGGCGGCGGCGCTACCCGGAGGCCGCGGAGCTCGGATGTCGCCGCCCGCCTCTCTCCCGCTTCGGTTCGGCGGTGCTGGACGCCCTCTGCCCCCTTCCTCTGAGGAGCCTCGGCAGCTGCAGGAGGCGGCGGTGGCGGCGGACTAAGCGCAGGAGGGATGCTGTGGAGCGGGCCCCCCCGGCAGAGTGCTTTCCCGCAGGAGATGTTTCTGATGCTCGCCTTCTGCCTGGCTTCGCGGCGGACCCTGGCAGCGCCCACTCCGACCGCTGAGGACATCACGCTGGGAGTTGTGAGTTGGCACCTGCCGGGCTCTTCGTGGGGTTTTCTGCCCGGGGAGGGAGAGGAAGGGGGGGCATCCGAAGAAACAGCGCGAGAGAGTCGTACGCCAAGCAGCTGAAAAGGGCTGTCCATGGCTGCAAGGATGAAGTTGGCGGCTGTTTTTTGGGGGGTGTATTCTCTTTATTTAATCTCCCGCCCCATTCTGATCATCACGGGAAGCCAAAGATCCCCCCGCCTCACCCGCGAACCCCATTCCCAGCGCCGCTTGTGTTGGGCGTGTGCGGAGCTTGCTGCGCGCTCTGGGGTATCTGCGGGCGCACGATCAAACAAGGGCTCCTCCTATTACCTGGGGGGTGTGCGCAGGTTTTTGTGGTGTGTGTATGTTTGAGGTGCCGCGGGATGGAGCTGGTCACCAGCGGTAAAAAGAGGGGGAGAGGTGGCGTGAGCAGGGAGACAGGTTATTGCTTGCCAGCGCGGCGCGGGTTACTCGAGAGGAGACGACGCAGCTCTCCAAAGAGCGTTCTCCTTTTGTGTGTGCGTGTGTATGCGCGCGTGTTTGTTTTGGATTGCAGCCATCCTCTGGTCTGATTCCTCGGAAGTAAGTCTCAGTGTTCCTTCAACAGGGACTTTACTCCCGGGAAAGGGCGCAGGGATCTGCCGCTTTTGCAGCGCAGTCTCTTGTCTGAAGTAAGTCCCGCTGTTTTTAGAGGAAGGATGGGGGCTCACCGCTAATAAATGTGGGTGTACGGTTGCGGTCTGAGTCAGCCGCTTGGTGGTGGCGGCGGCGGCCAGAAAGTGGGAAAGCACTGCAGTTGGTAGTGGTGCCCACCAGTTTCCTCAGGCTTTTAAATCCCTTGCCTTGTGGGGTGCGGGTGGGGCGTGTTTAGGAAAGCAATGGTCTTGCTGCCACTTCTAGTCCTTTGCTGATTTAGTAACCTGTTGGTCGTCTGTGAAAAGGCAAAGAGGAAATATCTCTGTCTGTGGTTAATACTAATGGTTAAAAAATTAATGCCACTATTATCGTTATTTGTCTCTGTGTGGTTCTTTCCTCCTTCACTGCATGGTAGGCGTTAGGCAAAGATGATTCTGGTTCTTGGTTTTTCCGTCAAAGACGTCAAGAAGGCTCCCCCTCAACCAACTGGTGCCCTGGAATCAATCCATCCTTATTTGGGCATTTGTTGGAATCTCTTCCCGAACCCGGGTCTGTATATGTGCAGCAGAAGCTATTGAGCCTATTGGCGATGGCTGGTTATCTCCCTTGCTGGCCTAGCTCACTGGCCAACAACTGGTGGGTCACAGCCTGATCCAACATACAATGGGTCTCCAAATGCGTGTCTGGGTTCAAAGTGGGCCCTAGGTCTGAGAAAGTTGGAGTTACCTGGCCTAGATAGTTGCCACCTTACTGCTAGCGGCATCCTCCAGAGATGCAAAGCAGGGCTGCCCTGTACCTTATAAAATGACCAAGTTTATAGAAGTTGCTCTATTGCACTCATGGCCATTTTAGGGGACAGAACTGCAGTTTGCCACAGGCTCTGCCCGCCCCCCATGGATGATGACCGTGCTCTGTAATAAACTCGGTCGCCTAGCTGTAAGAACCTTGTTGTCTGTGAGAGCCTTGTTTATCCAAGTAGCTATTGAATTTCAGGGCAGTTGAGGTGGAAAATCCCAAAGTGAGAGGCAATCATATTGAAGTATGAGATAGTGAGCATGAAACTTTCCAAAGCCAGTTTGATTGATGTTTCAGAACTGAGCAAAAACTTTCATTCCGTCTTTGTGGAAACGTCTGGCCGACTCAGAGGAACTGGATAATAATGGTCATGGTTTGGCCAACTCTGATCTGGTGGAGAGAAGACTTGAGTTGAATGTTGAGCTCTATATATCGTAGAGGGAGAAATGCAAGCCATGCAAGTCAAACACTGAGTTGAACTGAAACCTTCATGAGTGTGCGCAGGAACTAAGCCTGGTGTGCAAAGATTGAATTTGCACCCATTGCTCTGACCACTTTTGCTTCTGGCCTTGCCCAGCACTGACCTGGTGCTCTCAGAAGTTCGCCTAGAAGGGAAAGTGTCCCTCAGGTGGAAAATGGTCCCCCATCACTGCTATAGATCTATGAAATAAATAAACTCAGGAAGTGAGTCATAAACCAAGATGCTTCTGGTTTGATAATTGTCTCTGATGGATGCACCTGGTGGCTTTAACCAAGATAAATTGGTGGGACTGGGAGAAACTCTCACTTAAGTGGTGTTAACAAATCCTGAGACAATGGGTGTAAAACCTCTTGATCACTCAGGTGGTATAGCTGTGCTCCATATCTGATTTTAATAATAATAGTAGTAGTAGTAATACAAAAGCCAGCAGCTAGAGTGTTTCAGGGCCTGGTTACCAGGCAACTCTCCCTATGTTCCGAACGGGTAGAAGTGTTTCTTACTTCTGCCCATATGCTCCTAGGAAGGCAACCCAGAAATCACAGTAATTAAGTTATGAAAAGTTATGGGACATGATGTGGATTTGCTAGGGATCACCTGTAACTGAGACCCCATCTCCAGTAAACATTTAAGCAGTATCGTACTACTTTGAGCAGTGATTGCTCCCCGCCCTCTTGCTGCCAAAGCATCCTGGGAACTGTCCTTTGGGAAGATCCTAAGAGTTGTTAGGAGACCCCTATCATCCTCACTGAGCTACAATTTCCACGGAAGAGGGATTAGCTAATAAACCTGATCTCCCAAGTCCTAATCTGATACTCTACACGCAACATCACATTGACTCGCTGGCTCTAAGTGCGCATGCTTTGAATCTCTGTTGGAATTCCTATGGATTATTCTATCCCCCCACCCCGTCTTTCCCTCCTAGATGTGTGGGTGCCAAGAGACTTCACCTGACATGAGATTTGATGTACTTTTTGACAACCTTCTTATGTAACTAGCATGTTACCTAGTTAACTTTTAGCTGGTGGTTTGCATTGCCGGGCAAGCTACGCTTGACCTTAAATTTGATTTAGCAACTAAACCTGTAGAGGGTTTTACAGAGGGTCCGTTCCAGGTTCAATCTTAAGCGCCTCCAGGTAGGGCTGGGGAAAACCCCTGCCTGAAACTTTGTGAAGCCTCTGCCAGTCAGTGCAGACAATACTGAGCTCAAGGGGCCAATGATCTGACTCATTAGAAGGCAGCTCCCTCCAATGTATGGTTTTTCTTCTGCCCCCCGAAAGCAAATGCAAACTTCAGAAGAGGTATTTTTCTCAGGATCGCAACAGGGAAAGAAAGGGTTAAACTCCCTCTCCATGCCTCCTCTCATCTTAATTATCAGCTGCCCCCCAGGAGATGCAATTTGCATGTAAAAACAACCAGTCTCTGCACCATAGTTGCAAAGATGCATTTAGTGTCAAGTCTGGTTTGCCCCGCCATTTATTGCTCTGTTCCTCCAGTGCGAAGCTTTTTTTTATGTATCGCTTGATTGTGTCTTCAATATTGTTTTACTTTGCTGGTGGTTGTCCTGGGATTTAATTTTATTTTGTAAACTGAAAGACGGCAGGCACATGATTATATATTTTTTTGAAACGAAATAGATTGAATTTCATCTTCTGTCAGAGACAGGGTTTAAATGGTGTGTTGTGGAGAGGAATGACTTGGGCTTGCTTTCAGATTTAAAGGGCCCCTCCCATGGGCGTGCATGGGGGGGGCTGCTGGGGGTGCCAGGCACTCCCCCTTTTTAAATCAAGGGAAGCAGGCAGAAATGCAGGCAGAATGAACAAGACTGGTTTTAATTTGGAATGGATCTGCAGCTTTTGCCTGGCGGTGGGGTGACTGGTTCCAGCAGCAGCAGCAGTATGGAAGGAAGGGGGACTCCCTGCTCTGCAGGCAGAAGCTGCAGATCCATCCCAGCCTTTTTCTTCTGTCTGCGCCTGTCTCTGTCTCATAGCTCTGTCTTCATCCAAGCTTTGCTCTCATTTTTTTTTGTGCTGAGAGATCTTGTGGAGGCTGCTGTTTTGGCATGCAAGCAACAAGGAGCCAGCCCACCCACGTCCCTCCAGATCTGCCCTCTGGTTTGCTTGGCACTTGTCTTTTTCTCTGCAGGAAAAATATCCTGTTTGGGCTTCTTGACCACTTCCATGGTCAAGAATTCCTAATGGAATGCGCTGAGCACACCAGTGGCTCTTCCAAATTGCAGAGTGGTCATCATGATTTGCTTGCAGGGAACCTATGCGGAGGTTAAACTATGCCCAGTCTTTATTGAGCTTCTGTTCTGATTTGTTGGCAGGGAGGTTATATAACAGTGCTCATTCATCCTGGTTTGCTTGTGTGGGGTTTATTGGTCTTACTGTTAATCGTTCATCCCATGCTTTTCAGCATGTTCCCCCCATTACTTTCCTATCCACAAAAACAGTGGTGAATTTGTTGTGCTGGGTTGACAGAGCACTTTAATCCACTTCAATTGTGCAAATCTAAATTCCCAGTGTTTACCCGATTCCCTCCTGCAATATACTGGCTGTCTGGAAGCAACAAAAAATTTGTCCAGTAGCACCTTAGAGACCAACTAAGTTCGTTCCTTGTATGAGCTTTCGTGTACATGCACACTTCTACCAAGAACAAACTTAGTTGGTCTCTAAGGTGCTACTGGACAATTTTATTATTTTAGTTTTATATTTCTACTGCATCAGACCAACACCTGACTCTGGAAGCAACAGTCTATCTTTGCCTACATTTCTGGTATGGAGCACCTCACCTGCTTATACTGTTTGTGTGGGACATTCTGCAAATGGGATGACATGAACAACTCCACTAGAGGTGTTGGGTTTGTTCATGGGTAGTTTTTAAAGTAGCCCTTTTCTTCTTTTTAAAGAAAGAAAGAATGAATCAATGAGGTGTGTCTTTTTATATTGGGAAATCACTGGGAGTAGATGGGTCTGGGACTCACTGAAGAATCGCATTAAGAATCTATTCAGTGATCCAACCACTCAGGCAGTTCACTGTTCTGAGAGGACCGTACCACCTCCAAGTTCAGGTAGAGGGGAATTCTTGTTTGGCGTCTTCCCCCATGGGAAGGCCTGCCTGCCTGACTCTTTTCCTGCAGCCACTTCCTTGACATGTAAGCTTTCCGTAATAGAAGGAAGTGCCATCAAACTCCACCTTTCACATTTTGAAGTGGTACAGTCACCTGAGAAGATGCTCAAATCGATTTTGCATCTTTGTAGGAGCCCCAAAAGACCTAATGAAATTGAAGCACTTATTGGGGCAGGAACTGTTACCGTAGCTTGCTGTGTTGTTTTCTCATATCTGCAAAGGGGATAGAGCATGCAATTGCAAGCGTTGGACTAGGAATAAGGCAACCTGACTTTGAATCCTCGCTCAGCCATGAAACTCACACTAGCCTGGTTTGCACGGAGTGCTGAATCCTGGTTAATGCTCACCATGGTTAATAGACCATGGTTAAAGCAGAGGCATATCTGACAGACAATCCTTTAAACCTTGGTTTATCACCTCACAGAACATGCCTTAGCCATAGTTAAGAAGCTGGTCTGGATTTGCACATAATGCTAAGCAACAGTTAATATTAACCTTGCATGCAGAAGGTCCCACATCCAACCCCCAGCATCTCCAGGTAGGGCTGGGAGAGACCTCTGTTTGAAATCCTGGAAAGCCACTGTCAGTCAGTGCAAGCAATAATGAGCTAGATGAGCCAGTGGTCTGACTCTGTATAAGGCAGGTTCCTCTGTTCCTGAGAGAGAGGGAGATATCTTTAAAATGGGTGGGAATCAATAGATGTAATAGGTAAGCCCTCTGGAAATGCTGTTTCCTGTCTAATTAGATCATTAAGCTAACAGCTCTATCATCACAGTGGCTGCCTTGGCGTTCAGAGAGACACTCTCAAAACCATGCAGAAAGTCAATCAGCTGCTTCTTCCTCTTAAAACTCAGTAGGGAATACAGTGTTCAGTTTGTGAGCCCCTGGGAACGGCTGTGCTGATTGCAGGAGAAATCCAGGACTTCAACTGCACCTTTGACCTCATTTTTTATTTGTTTTTTATTTATTTCTCAAATGTACACCTTGCTTGTGTGGGGATTCCCAAAGTGGTTTATGCTGTGAAATGAGATTAAAAGGCCACTATAAAATATGGCTGCAAATCAAGTAAAAGGGGAACTGGATAAATATAATGTCTTTCAATGGGCTGCAAACTCTCCAGCCTAATCTAATCCAAGTATGATTTATTATCATTAAATAGTTTCATATGGAGGGATACCGTATTTTTCGCTCTATAACACGCACCCGACCATAACACGCACGTAGTTTTTAGAGGAGGAAAATCCGTAGGCATGCCACCCGTAGGCATTCCCTCCATAACACGCACAGACATTTCCCCTTACTTTTTTAGGAGGAAAAAAGTGAGTGTTATGGTGCAAAAAATACGGTAGTTTTCTGATTTTCTCCCCCAACAGGGTGGGTTTAACTGTCTTCCCTTGGGAGGGTGTTTGGTTGAATGGGATGTCACTTACCAAAAAAACCCCCAGAATATATAAAGGTATATGCAATTTTGCATATTTAAATATTTAAAATTTTGCATGCTTAACTGTCTTCCCTTGGGAGGGTGTTTGGTTGAATGGGATGTCACGTACCAAAAAAACCCCCAGAATATATAAAGGTATATGCAATTTTGCATCGAGCAGAGAGTCTTTTCTTCCCCCTCTTTCATAATATTAGAACTTGCAGGCATCCAGTGAACGCTGGAAGATTCAGGACAGACCAAAAAAGGACTTTTCACACAGTGCCTAGTTAAATTGTGGAATTTGCTCCCCACAAGAGGTAGTGATGGCCACAAACATGGAGGGCTGTAAACAAAGATTAGGCAAATTCATGGGAAATAAGATTTTTGATGGCTAGTAGCCATGATGGCTATGTTCACACCTCCACTCCGTTGAAGGCAGTATGTCTCTGAAGAGCAGTTGCTGGGAATCACAGGTGGTTTTAGGGATGAGCTGGACACTACAGAATGCTGACCGGCTGCTGAAGAGTGGGCACCTGGAGAAAGGGGGCGTGGTTGGCGTCTGACTTGGAAGAAGGAATCGATGATCTTAGGGAGCTTGGAACAGCTGGGAGATCAGGCAGGAGAAGCTTCGGGATTGGAGAGTGAAGAACAGGTGCAAGAAGTGGGAGAGAGAGATCAGGCTGGTGTAAAGTCAAGGGCTTCCATGCCTCCTCTTCTTCCTCCTGCTGCTGCCCACCTCTCTCTCGCTACCAGGAGGAGCAGAAGGTTACACAGAGGCAGAGTCTGTGTCTGCTTTGCCTGCAGCTCAGCTGGGGGAGATGCACAGATTAGGGACAGGGCCTGTCTGTTGCAGCAACAGCCTCCTTAGCTGCCCACCTAGGAGTAGCTGAGAGACGTAAGACTGGTGAACATGCCTCTCCCTAACTTGTAGGCGGTGTGCTTTTGACAATGAAGAGTTAATTCCTTGCTCTGGACATTCTGTACCTGAGGACGCTGTGATAGGTGGAGAGAGTGATGTTGCTTTCAGATTCTGGTTGGCCAGGGTGAGAACAGGATTGTGTCGATCACACAGGGTCCCCGGACGTTTAACGGTCTATTGATCCCTGTGCCACCACTGTGCTCACTTCCCCGCTGCCACCAACCAGTTACTCTCTGGTAAAACACTGAGTCCAGTCAGTTGTTAAAAGTGAACCAAAAAAACCCAAGTTATTTTACAAACGTTAACAAGTTTACGGTTTCTCAGATAATATTCCTGTCAGCATCTTAACTTTAGTTTCTTTACCAGCCTATACCTTCCTAATACCTTCTGACTGATTATCTCAACTGTTTGACTGACCCTTCTTAACAAATTCTCTCACTCTCTCCCACCAGACTAGCCCAAACCACAGACTTATCTTCTCTGTCTCTTCTAACTCCGGACTGTCTTCTCCACAACTCTAACTCTCTCTCAAAAAACCCCCTCTGTGCTTAAACCTTATACACAGTTAACTCTGCCCCCTGGGTTCCCACTGGTTAGTCATTTTACAATTAGTTAACACTTTTCCTATGAACCCAGTACGATGTCACACAAATTGGAGGGCAAACGCTACGAGGATGTTGGACCAGATGGTCATTGCAGCAATTTTTAAAAAAACAACAACATTTTTTAATCTCCCCTTTTCCTCCAAAGAGTTCAGGGCAGCCCACCAGGTTCCTCTTTCCCTTCACTCCCACTGTTTTCCTCAGCAACGCTGCAAAGTACCGTATTTTTTGCTCTATAGGATGCACCGAACCATAGGACACACCTTGTTTTAGAGGAGGAGAACAAGAAAAAAAAAATCTCCCCCTCTCTGCTCAGCGCCCCTTCAGTGAAGTGGCAGGAGAAACTGAGCCCCTTCAATTTCTCCTCCTGCTTGGTTGAAGGGGCGCTGCGAAGCTCTCCCTCTCTGCTGAAGCCAGGAGAGTCTTGCTCTCCTGGCTTCAGCGAAAGGAACCTGAAGCCTGCGGAGCGCAGCGGGAACTCGCGCTGCACTCCAAAGGCTTCAGGCGGCTATCCCTGAAGCCTGGAGAGCGAGAGGGGTCAGTGCGCACCAACCCCTCTCGCCCTCCAGGCTTCAGCGAAAGCAACGTGAAGCCTCCAGAGCGCGGAGGGAGCACTCCCTCTGCGCTTCGGAGGCTTCGCGTTGCTATCGCTGAAGCCAAGGAGCCTGCATTCGCTCCATAGGACACACACACATTTCCCCTTAATTTTTGGAGGGGGAAAAGTGCGTCCTATAGAGTGAAAAATACGGTAAGTTTGGCTGAGAAAGAGTGCCTACCCAAGGTCACTTGGGAAGCAAAATGACTAAATAAGGATGTGAACCTTCTCTTGTGTGTCTGTAGTCCACAGAAGGCCTCTAGCTCAGTAGTAGAGCATCTGCTTTGCATGCAGAAGATCCCAAGTTCAATCCCTGGCCTCTCTAGGTAGGGCCAGGAAAGAATGCTGCCTAGAATCCTGGACAGCTGCTGCCAGTCAGTGCAGACAATGCTGAGCACAGATGGACCAACGACCGGACTCTGCAGAAGGCAGCTTCCTATGTTTCCATCCACTGCACCACAGTGACTTTCAGCTGAAGCCATAAATCCATTGGGTCATCTCGACTGGGTGGGAACGAGGCTGCCGATGAACGGGAGAACAAAGAAGTCTTTGTTTTGGCAGAGGTCTCAGCAGTGATGAGTGGAAAATACAAGACAGTTACTGAAGTGGCTTGTTTGCAGCAAGTGTGTTTGCGAATCTCTGCGTAGAGAGGCAGCGCTCTCTCTCGAAGACATCCTGCTTTGGAATCCATTCCGGCACGCAAATAAACCCCAAGGCTGCTGAAGCGTTAGCCCCATCATATTTGAAAGTCAGGAAGCATGAAACGACAGCGATAGAGAATTGTGCTAACCTTTGGAGGAATATTATGTCTCCAAGTACTTTCTGCAGTAAATACAATGTGAATAGAGCTCTTGCACTTTAGAATGATGGCTCTCACACCCCCTCCTCTCCACTGAAAATTGCAGCTAAGATGCCATTCTGCATGATTAGAAGAAAAAGAGCAAGAGAATCGAAGCTTGCAGGAGAGTTATAGACTCTTCCTGTGCCGTGTCAGACTGGGGTGAAGCATTCCAATGATGTTAGCTAGATTAAAACTTGGGGATCGCCTCCTTTCCCTTCCCCCTAACTGAATTTTAATTTGATGGCACGACTTCCTAATAAGCTGCCCAAAGAAACGTGAAAGCTGATGGATGGCTCGCATTGTCATTCTCCCGCTTTGCCTTCTGAATCCAGGTTGCTTTGCAGTCTGCTATATTCCTCAGTAGGCAGTCTAGCCAAGGGAGCAAAAACAAAATGGTTAGTTGGAGCCTGCCTCGAATGCAAAGAGATCATGCTGGTGCTTAGCACCCGTCCCTCCCTCTCCTCTCCTCTTCTTCTGAATTCAGGTGGTTCAGCTCAAGGAGGGCCAGATTAATGGCTTTTAGCTCATGGTGATTGGTGCCTATTGAGGCTGGTAGGGTGGGAGCCAGGGAGACCAACCGTAGAGGGAGCCAGAGGCAGAGGCAGACAGAGCCAGCTGATCAACCTAGCAAATCAGCCTTTATTGCTTTTAGCTATTTGAGGTTCAGAGGTGGCATTCTGGAGGGTAACCACTTGGAAAGGGTTGGGATTTTTTAGCCATCACACTTTGCTTGTGGGTGTTCCAGAAAACATCTGCATGATGCTGGATTATGTGGACCATAGGCTCCTCCAGGTGGCTTGTTTATTGAGCATCCATCCTGATTTGCTTCCATGATGGAAGATAGATCATGTCCAGTCTTTGACGAGCATTTGTTCACAGGGAGCTCATATATGACCATGAACACCCATCCTGATTTGCTGGTGGTCCAGAGTGCTTTAATCTACTTCAGTTGTGCAAACCTACATTTCCAGGTATGCGCCTGGATCTTCCCCACAAAATAATGACAGACAACCCCTTTCTCTAATCCATCTGTGCACCTTTCATGTTTTCCTTGAATCTGATGAAACAAAATAAAAAAATTCCTTCTAGTAGCACCTTAAAGACCAACTAAGTTTGTTATTGGTATGAGCTTTCGTGTGCATGCAAATGAAAGCTCATACCAATAACAAACTTAGTTGGTTTCTAAGGTACTACTGGAAGGAATTTTTTTATTTTGTTTCGACTACGGCAGACCAACATGGCTACCTACTTGACTCTGATGGTTAGGAAATAATCTCCATCTAGTATGAAGCCACTACAGTGGTACCTCGGGTTACAGACACTTCAGGTTACAGACTCCGCTAACCCAGAAATAGTACCTTGGGTTAAGAACTTTGCTTCAGGATTAGAACAGAAATCGTGCTCTGGTGGTGCGGCAGCAGGGGAGGCCCCATTAGCTAAAGTGGTGCTTCAGGTTAAGAACAGTTTCAGGTTAAGAACGGACCTCCAGAACGAATTAAGTTCTTAACCCGAGGTACCACTGTATTCCTAGAAGCTGCAGGACAGAGGGGGCTTACAGGGCATGAAAACTGACGCATCAACGTGCCTGTTTTGTGGGCTTTCTGAAATCATCCGACTGTTTCCAGGGGGAAAGAGGATGTTGGGCTAGACGGCCTTTGGTCTGATCTAAACAGGGCTCTTATGTTCCTAAGTCTCCAGGGCAATTTTATCTGGATGATCATTCTTAACAAAGTCACTTAAACTAATGCAGATGGGGTCCAGAGAGAAAAATCCTGATTCCGATTTACTAAGCAAACTGAACAAAAACAGTGTATAATTTGAAGAGAAAGGGCTTTGTCTTTCTTGTACATAGCTGGGAGACATACATGCAAACTTACAGGGGAAAACTGCCTCAGAACTGCCCCAAACCATTGGAGCACGTGCCAGCTCAGCAAAGATCATCCCATCCTTCCTGGTTGCTAGGCAACACTCCCATTGGTCCCCTTCTTGTCTACTTGACTTTATCATTAGCGGAATCAATGTTAAAGCTGCATACTGAGTGATCCTTGCTGTTGGACTACCAACATTCACGACCCTACCAGATTTTAATCAGAAGTTAGCGGAGTGGGAGGGAGGGGGAAGTGTGAAACTGTGAGCCAATTTGTTTAATAAGGGGGGAGGACAAGAACATATTTTCAAAAACTGGAGCGATTCTCTCTTTGTTTATTATTTGTCAAAACAATAATTAACACAATGAAGTACCAGCATATGTTTTCTTCCCAGTGTTGTGAAACTTTTTATATTCTCTTATAGTGTCTGTGTGTTTCATCCTTTAAATGTTTATTTGCTTTTATTTTCTTTGGTCTCCATCATTCTAGCTACAAATCTTTTTTTTAATTTTCTGTTTTTTTATTTATTCATAAGGAAACTCTTTTTTGTTTTTGTTTTTTTAAACAATAAATTCCAAAGCGGTTTACAACAACGAATTAATGCAATCGTGGTAAAACATGTCAGTGCAATGAAACATCATCAAGACACACAGAAGGCATCAGCCATTAGGGAACAGGCTGGTTCTTAAGAAATGATGGAGACACACCATGACGGAGTGTGGAGTTTACAGGGGTCGGCAGAAAGGTTGGCAGCCCTTGCTGTTGGTGTGAATTTACTATGTGGAAGTTTGTCCTGCACCGACCTTGGAAGTAGTATAGAGCCAGTTAAGCAATCACAATGTTTTTGCCTTTTTGCATTCACTTTGCCAGCTCAATGAAATGGAAGCTAGCGCATCCTGCTTCAAAAGGCACTGGCCCCAAGGAAGGCCAAATTATTTGCTGGAAATGAATTCAAGGAGATAGGAACTCTTTCTGGACTGATTTCAGCAAGCCCACCCAGACCTGTCATGCAGTTACAGTGGTACCTCAGGTTAAGAACTTAATTCGTTCTGGAGGTCCGCTCTTAACCTGAAACACCACTTTAGGTAATGGGGCCTCCTGCCGCTGCCGCGCCACCGGAGCACGATTTCTGTTCTCATCCTGAAGCAATGTTCTTAACCCGAGGTACTATTTCTGAGTTAGCAGAGTCTGTAACCTGAAGCATGTGTAACCTGAAGCGTCTGTAACCCGAGGTACCACTGTACTTATGCTTGTTTTAAAACAGGGGTCAGCAAACTTTTTCAACAGGGGGGCGGTCCACTGTCCCTCAGACCTTGTGGGGGGCCAGACTATATTTTGGAAGGGGGTGGAATGAACGAATTCCTATGCCCCACAAATAACTCAGAGATGCATTTTAAATAAAAGCACACATTCTACTCATGTAAAAACACGCTGATTCCCAGACTGTCCACGGGCTGGGTTTAGAAGGCGATTGGGCCAGATTCGGCCCCCGGGCCTTAGTTTGCCTACCCATGTTTTAAAAGTTCTACTGATTTTTATTTGTGCTTTAATGGTGATCATGATGTGTACATATTCCTTCCTCTTAATAGTTTCACGGGTTTTAGCTGTGTTATCTGTAAATTTGTCATGCACACCACTCTGAAAGCTTTTCGACACAGCGATTTATAGAACTTTCTAAAATGTAAACGTACAATGCCCTGTTTTAGTTTCAACATTTGCCCCCCGTTAAATAGAGGTGTCTGTTGCTGCCACATCTAGTTCAACCCCTGCTAGAGAGAGGCTAGAGCAAAGTTTCTCTTCAAAGTTTCTCTCCCCCCCCCCCTCACATTGGGGGGAAAGCCTCAGTCCCTGTTCTGCTCTGAATATCCTCTTTGCTCCAATACCTCCTTTCATTTTGCTTCTCTCCATGCCATCGCCGGCTGCCCTTTGGGCGAATTTAAGTTCTAAGAGGGAATACAAACATTTGTATTCATAACTGGAGGCCATGGGAAAGAATCTTCCTCTGCCAGACTCCTTTTCTCCGATGGCTTTGTCCCAAAGGAGTTGCGCTTGCTAGCTGCCTTTTGTCTGTGCATTTTAGCTGGGCGACAAAGATGGAAGGAGAAGCAGGTGTCTCGCTGAGTCTCTCACCCCCACCGATCCCCAGTGCTGCTTGGCACAACTGCAAAGTTCAGATGTTCATCCGTGGACGCGATCAAAGACAATTGGGTAGAGAGAGCTCCAGTCTGTGGGAACAGAGTTACTTGGTATTTGCGCAGGCGTTCCTTCAGGTTTGGGGGCTGAACTGTGCATTGGATTGAGATTCATCCATCTGTACTGGAACTTCAAGGGGGAGAAAAGAGGGTTGTGTGTGTTTGCTTTTACACAGACGATTGCTGCAGGGAAGCTGGAGAACAGAGGAAACACAGGGAGAGGGCTTTTGCATCTGGCCAAAGGTCCACCAAGTCTACGGGTTGGGAACCTTTCTCAGCTTGAGGGCAGTATTCTCTCCTGGGCAGCTTTCCAGGGGCCACATGCTCCTGGTGGGCAGGGCCAGAGGAAAAAGCAAGTGGAGGAATAAATGTAGATTTTTCCTTTGTACAGGGGGCTAGTTTCTGCACACATTCATGCACCCCTCTCTATCTTATACCCAGGCCAGCAAAAGACATTATCAGAGTCCGAGGACACATTCCAGCCACACAAAGTAGGTGTGGTGGGGGAAAGAGGGTGTGAGGTTTGGGGTGAGTCCCTGGGGCCATATAGAGGGGCTCGGAGGACCATAGGTTACCCACCCCATATCTAGATGAGCAACTTGCAATGGGCTTCTCTTTCTGTTGGTTCCCAGCGACTGGTACTCAAGGCAGATTTGCGTTTGATGCTGGAGGTTCTGCTTGTCTACTGGGAATAATCGGCCTTTGGTAAGCCTACCCTTCATGTTTTTGCCAAGTCCTCTTCCAAAGCCATGTGAACCACCATCACATCTCACAGGAGCAGAGTCCATAAGTTAATGATGTCAAGCTTGGAGAAGTCCTTTCACTGGTCTGGGCTGAATCTGCTCCTTATCCATTTCATTAGTTCACCCCAAGTATCAGCTTTATTAGAGAGGCAGCAAAAATGTCAGGTCTTTCCAGTATAATTCTGCAGTCGTTCCTCCAGTGACTCGCACTCGTCTACAGATAACCCTGCCCTTCAGACCTGTCTATATTAGAAATAAGTAGCACTGTGGACTTGTAAACCTCTAGCCTCTTCTCCTGTACGGATCAGCTCCTCCTTTCTAAGCCCAGTTCTCTGTAATATTTCCAGTTCAACAATCTGAATGTGGCATTTATTTCTCTTTGCACCAGTTTCTGGTTGAGGCTGCGGGCCAACTTCTGACACCATGTGTTGCTTGTTGAATCTTGACTCTAGAATTCAGACTTTGCAAAAGCTGCCCCCCTGCCTAACTGATGCTCTACCACTGGTCTGCAGCTCAGTGGTAAGATTGTCTGCCTTGCATGCAGAAGGTCCCAGGTTCAGTCCCTGGCATCCCAGGCGGAGCTGAAAGAGACTTCTGCCTGAAACCCTGGAGAGCTGCTGACTGTCAGTGTGTAGACAGTACACACTAAATGGATTAATGGCTTGACTCAGAAGATGGCAGCTTCCTATGTTGCTAATTCAAATGAAGAGGGCAAGTGCAGTATTTTATTACCTTTCTCACTGATGAAATAGCTGCTTAATAATAATAATAATCATGAACTCTATATGGAACAAGTCATTATAATTGGTGCTCAAAGGATGCACCCTTTGCACCCAGAATCCAAGTAACCCCCCAGAATCGCAAGCCACCACTACGTTTTTCAAATGTAGAAACATGAATAATTAAAGGTAAAGGGACCTCTGACCATTAGGTCAAGTCATGACCAGCTCTGGGGTTGCGGCGCTCATCTCGCTTTACTGGCCGAGGGAGCCAGCGTACAGCTTCTGGGTCATGTGGCCAGCATGACTAAGCCGCTTCTGGTGAACCAGAGCAGCACACGGAAACGCCGTTTCCCTTCCCGCCGGAGCGGTACCTGTTTATCTACTTGCACTTTGACATGCTTTTGAACTGCTAGGTTGGCAGGAGCAGGGACCAAGCAACAGGAGCTCACCCTGTCGTGGGAATTCGAACCGCCGACCTTCTGATTGGCAAGTCCTAGGCTCTGTGGTTTAACCCACTGCGCCACCTGCGTCCCATGAATAATGTAGCCGGTCTTTAAAATGAGCAGTAATGAGCCCCCCTGTACTCTACCTCCAGCCCTCAGCCTTTGGTGCCACTGGAACTTTTACTGCTTCTCTAAGAAGTGCTGCTGGTCGTTTCCTCCTCCAAGTATGTTTTAAGTGTCACTTGTCAAAATGCAGTCTACGATTTAAGAGCGAGCCTTGGGGCCAAGGTGCGGGGCTGGGTAAATCAGTTTGACAAAACGTTGGCTGGGTTCTTTCTCAAGCAGGCCTGGGATCTGCGGATGCTTTTAAATCCTGTGTTTTAATTTCGGGGGGGAGGGGGGAACAAGGCTCCGTCTCATTAAGATGGCAACTTCGTTTTGAGCTCTGGGAATGGCTGATCTCGGGATGCGCCGATGCAATTCGCTCCTCTCCTGCGTCGCTGTCGCCAGCTTGGCCTTACTGAATTTCTGTGGGTAGTTACGCTATATTACTCATGATAATGAGACTTTGCTTTCCATGAGCATTCCTGAGAGCCAGCCGGCAAAGCTCTGGAAATGGAAAGTTGCCAGTGTTCTTTTTTATAAAAAAGCATCTCTCTCTTTCTCTAGAAAAGGCCAGATTTACACCAGCCCAAACTCTGGCAGTGTCTGATGGGTAGCTTGTGCTTTGATCCTGAAAGGACGTCATTTGGGCTGCCTACCTTCTATAGAATCCCTGAGTGAGGTTCCCTTCTTTGTCTGTCATGTGAGAAGCCATCTCGATCCATCGTTGATATTTGTTTGGCCAGGGGCGAAACTAGGCTTTATTTCACCCTGGTTAAAGATCCAGTTTGACACTGTTATGGAGAAAATTCCAGGGTGAGAAACTATTCAACAGCCCAGCTCGTCGGGGTGCAAGTCCCCTGTGGATCTATGCAGTCAGTAAAAGAAGGAAGTTCCTGCCAAGTAATTTGGAGCAAAGCAGCAGTCAGTAGACCACGATCTTTATTGTTGCGCAACAGGTCCCCACAGGAGTAAGAACCCCGAGCATGCGGTGACATCCTCTTTTAAAACTTCCCTCTTTCCCCCAGAATACACTTTGAGCAGCATCATGTCACATTTGAGAACGTGTATGGTTCAAGTGCAAGCAAGCATGGTTTGCTATATTGTGTCTGCTCACTTATACAGTAGATGTCTGGGTGGTTCATGATATGGGCAGCCCTTGTGATTCTACTGACTGTTCAGTTTCCCATGGCTTAAGCACCATGGCTTACAGTGTGCTGCAGAAATGTAAGTTAATATTTCAACCTATAAGTGAACCAGCTGCCAAATCTCCCCTGGCAGAGTCTTCTGCTTTTCCAACCTAGTTTCAAAACATGCCACTTTCTCAAGATGTATGCTCTCAGCAATCTGATTTGCTGACTTCAATGTCTGGGTTAAGAGTATGTTCTGCTTAGTCCGAAAGAGGCAGAAAAGCCCTGAGAGAATCCAATAATTCCTTTGGTAGCGTCAGCATAAGTGTATTTGCTGCGTCCCCCGCACCTTCTAAACTGTGCACCTGTGCAAGCTCATCAGAAAGTACTGGGACCATCTGTATTCCATGTGCGTCACCGTCATCAAAAATGTCTCCAAGATTGTGTAGCAGGTTCCTGGCAACAAATCCTCTTATTGGCTGATCTGCTGTGATGTCGCCAATATTCCAGACGCTCAGGGAATTAAAGAAAAAAAGGCAGCGGAATATATGCAGTTTGGCTTCTGTGATGGAAGGACAAGTTGTCAGTTTGGCAGGGATATCACTCTGTAAGGAAGCTGAGATGCAAGGAGTCCCTAGGCGGGGCCAGAAGGAAGAGGGCAGTGTGTGTGATAAGCTGGAAACAGCAAACCAAAGCAAGGGGACCAGAGAAAGGCTGATTTAAGCAGCTGACACTTTCCTTACTGGAAATCTCCACTGGAGCTTCACAAGTGTCAGGCTGATGTTACAAGGTGAAAACCCTAAGACCTCCAGGCTATAGAATGGATAGTGGGAGAGAGCTGAATTTCACAGTGATTTGCACCAACTAGCCAAACCTGAGTCGCAGGCTTCTAGTCAGGATTTATTAATTATGCGACGATGCTTCCAACACTTCTGCTGTTATGGATTTGCTGCCTGCTGTGTCATAACTCTGCAAATCTTTTCTGTAGAGCGAGATGGAAAAACTCAACATTGCAAATCACTCCACGGAAGTGCACTAGCCAACAAAAACCCTCTCGCTGTCCAAATTGCTCACCTGTGCCCACATTACTCACAGATGCCCTAAAAGAGTGTGTGTGTGTGTGTGTGTGTGTGTGTGTGTGTGTGTGTGTTGGTGATGCAACTTTTATAATGTTTCACTACCTGGAGGGACCTTATACTCACCCAAGGTGAGTGGCTGTTCACATAGTGGGGGGGGCACAGAAGCGGTGTTGTGAGTCTCTTCCTCCTCCACTTCTACAATTGCAAGTAGATTCTGCACTCGCCCATTGCTCCATCCAGGCAAGCAAGGGACATTTACACCAGTGTTCAAGGACACATTCCACTTAGGCAAAGGCAATGGAGCACTGCTGGCAAGGGACATGGCTTAGGGAGCTGGGGCATAGTCTGGAGAGAGTTTCTATGGCTGGATGGAGATGGGTCCACAGAACCATTGTATCAACACAACCCTCAGCTGTCCTGTTTTGGGGATCCAGTTGCATGAGATTTCGGCTCCCCAAAACACACATTTTTTGGTGCCCATGCTCTCATGTGACCTGGTTTTTGGCCTGGACATGTTGGAGGGTGTAGTATTTGATTGTTTGATTATTTGATTGTTGTTAGCCGCCCTGAGCCCGGCTTTGGCTGGGGAGGGCGGGATATAAATAAAATTTATTATTATTATTATATTAGTATCGATATTTGCAAAGCCCAAATTCCAGAAGCACCCCTGCTTCCCAGCCACTGGGAAAGGCAGCAAAGAAGAAACTACCTTGCTTGCAAGAAGCAGAAGTGCATATTGTTTAATAGCAGGGAGCTGGTGGTACCAGAAAACAACTCCATAATCGGGGTAGAATGAGTTTGCATACAAACATTAAAAAACATCAATCAAAATCACTTTAAATAGGGAGATTTGGGAGTTTCAGAGGATCTTCAAGTCTGTACATCTGGGAATATGTGTTTAGAGGGAGAGAGCGTTTGTCCCAGATTTTTTTTTTATTATGAGGATTGCTTGTGGTTTCTGGGTCAGAGAATTAAGAGATTTGATGTTTATATTAAAAAGAAAAGAGGGAAAACAAACTGAACCCTCCCCCCCAACTCTTCAGTCCAATAGAAACAAAAGGTTTAGTGCACCAGTGCGGGGGCGAAAAGAGATGGAGACGCCACTGAGATTTGGATTGCAATGTCCTTGCGTCTGCCTGGTGCTTTAATTTTGCAGAAGGGATCCAGGTGACACGGCAAAGAGGAGACAATGAGGTTCACCAGGAAGGGAGGCCTTCAAGGAAGAGGCTGACGCCTTAAGTCAGGCTTAATGATTGGGTAGGGTATGGCACAATTGCCTGTTTGAAGCACTTGCTTCTAATTGCTTCTCATTCTATCCAACATATGCCCACCTGACCGCTTTGGTCGGCCGAAATGCGCACATTCCCAAGTGACACTTTCCACATACCCTTGCCAGGGATCGATCTATCACTGCGGCAACAGCTACAAGTTGGCCCTGCGTATTGACATTCGGCAGGTGTTTTCACTGTCTTGCTTTTGCTGCCTTAAAAATAATTATAATAATTAAGCAAGCCTGCCCCCAGGCATAATTTTGATGCGCTATTTTATTTGATAATGTATGTGTTTTCTTAAATAATAAGTTGGTTTTATTTATACTTAGGTAAAGGGACACAGGTGGTGCCCTCGGTTAAACCACTGAGCCTTGGGCTTGCTGATAGAAAGGTCGGCAGTTCAAATCCCCACAACGGGATGAGCTCCCGTTGTTCGGTCCCTGCTCCTGCCAACCTAGCAGTTCAAAAGCACACCAGTGCAAGTAGATAAATAGGTACCGCTCTGGCAGGAAGGTAAACGGCGTTTCCGTGCACTGCTCTGGTTTCGCCAGAAATGGCTTAGTCATGCGGGCCACATGACCCGGAAAAACTGTCTGTGGAAGCAGACAAACGCCGGCTCCCTCAGCCTTTAAAGCGAGATGAGCGCCACAATCCCAGAGTCGTTTGTGACTGGACTTAATTGTCAGGGGTCCCTTTACCTTAAAGACCTTAACTCATTTTCAACATCTGATTGTATTTAGTGATTTCAATGTATGTTATTCCGGAAGCCACTTAGAGGTTTTGATGATAAAGCAAGTATATACGTCCTGTTAAGCAAATTAATTAATTAAATGGAT